GTACCTCAATGCCATGACAACTTCTGCTGGGAGACGTAATAACAACCCCATAATTCCCTTCGACCCCCAGGGAAACAACAGGTTCATGAGTCGAGACAGGCGACCGCCAGGCCATTTCCGACCTTTCCCTAGGGACGAAAGGCGGGGTAGACGGGCAGAAGTGTACACGGTCGGTGAGAAGCCAGCGGCGAAAGGCACTAAAACGCGATATTGCGAATACCACAAGGAGTCGAACGCACGACATAGTCAATTGTGCGGTGCTAAAGAGGGAAATCGAAGAAAAACAGCTGAAAGGAAATGTAATAGAAATTGCCAAAAGTCTACGAGCCAAGTTCGACGCAGACAACCCAAAAGACGCTACCAGAAAAATGGAGCAAAAAATGGAGATTCTAACCATCCACCACAAAAGGGGGAGGGCGGAGCGTATGGAGGACACGCGAGACATCACAGAGGCAATGCAGGGGCTGACATTCTCTATGCGCGATCCACGCCCAACCGGGTGGAATGGGGACAACCCCCTGGTCATTCAAGGATCCATCAAGAACGCAGTCATCCACCGGGTATACACCGACACTGGAAGTTCAGCGGACATCATCTATGAGCATTGTTTTAGAACACTGTCGAGCGCGTGGAAAGAAGGCTTAAGGCCAGCCATAGGCCAACTTACAGGATTCACCGGGCACAGCCTGTGGCCACTAGGTACGATCCACTTACCATTCACACTAGTTAGCCAGGACAAAACCAGACGACGGGCTGCCCTAATCGATTTCGTAGTCATATGACACCCCTCAGAGCACAACATCATATTGGGGCGCCCAACCCTATTAAGATTCGGAGCAGTCTCATTGACGGTCCACGGGATAGTTAAATTCAGCACAAGTCAGGGACCGGGCGTAGTCCTGGCCACATCGCCGAAGGAACTCAAATGTTACGAAATCATGCAACCAAAGGACATCTCAGCAGAGACCAAAAGGCTAAAACCAGACCCGTCGGACGGGGGAGAAGCAATCAACAGGGAACACCCAGACCAACGAGTGACCGTAGGAACGACCCTCCCTGCAAAAGCAAGAGAAGCACTGGTCCAAATACTACAAAGGTACAAATATGTGTTTGCATGGACCCCCGCGGACATGGTAGGGGTCGATCGAGGAATTATAGAACACAAGCTGATGATAAAACCAGAAACCAAGGAGATGAAGCAAAAGAAGTGGGTCCAGGGAGGGGATCGAAACAAGGCAATCAACATGGAAGTGGCAAAGCTAACCAACGCAGGAATCCTCAGAGAAGCAATTTTCCCCATATGGATCGCTAACACGGTAATGGTGAGAAAAAACGACGGTAGCTGGCACATGTGCATTGACTACTCCGACCTGAACAAAGCATGTCCCAAAGACTGTTACCCGCTACCAGAAATAGACCAAAAGGTAGAGTCTTTGTAGGGTTTCCGATGGAAATGCTTCCAAGATGCATACAAAGGATACCACCAGATATTGATGAATACAAACGACGAAGAGAAAACGGCTTTCTACACAGATCATGGCATTTTCTGCTATACAAAAATGCCGTTCGGGCTAAAAAATGCGGGGGCGACCTACCAGCGGCTCGTGGATTCTCTGTTCGCCAACCAAATCGGTCGGAACATAGAAGTCTATGTCGATGATATGGTCATAAAAAGCCCGTACGAGAACATGCTACTACGGGATGTAGAAGAAACACTATAAACTCTGGAGAAGGTTAGGATGAAATTAAACCCCGCCAAGTGTACTTTCGGAGTCAAGGAGGGCCAATTTTTAGGATAGTATGTGACGAAGGAGGGAATCCAGCCAACCCAATCAAGGTAAATGAGCTAGAGGAGACACCTTCACCCTGCACGTTGAGGGATGCACAAGCCTTGAACGGAATGCTGATCGCGCTCAGTCGGTTCATCTCCAAGTCGGCTGAGAAAGCCATGCCACTGTTCAACACGCTGAAAGGATGCATAGAGAAAAAAAACTTTAAATGGACCACGGAAGCCGAGTCTGCACTGCAAAAGATAAAGGAAGTACTCCACGCACTCCTCACTCTATCCAGCCTGATACCCGGAGAGGTATTGCAAGTGTACCTGTCCACATCAAAAGACACAATTTCGTCAGTGCTAACGGTCGACAGACAAGGACGCCAACTGCCGGTTTATTTTGTGAGTCGGGCACTACAGGGACCAGAGATGAACTACCCGGTCATCGAGAAACCGGTTCTCGCCTTAGTCTATGCAGCAAGGAGACTTCGTCGGTACTTTAAGGCCCACCAAATAGAGGTATTGACAAATTGCCCGATCAAACAAATACTCCTAAAGCCGGAGACGTCAGGAAGACTTGCGAAATGGGCCATAGAGCTAGGATAGCACGACATCACCTACCACCCTAGAGCAAGCATCAAAGGGCAAGCCCTAGCAGACTTCCTGCTCGAAGTCCCAGGAGAACTCCAGCAGGAAGCAACCAAGGCGGGCAACCAAGTGTGCTCAGAGAAAGAGGCCAACCAACGGTGGATCCTTCACACAATGGGGCCTCCAGCAAAGAAGTGTCAGGTGCAGGGCTGATCCTAACTAGCCCAACAGGAGAAGAACTCACATATGCCTTGCGCTTCGATTTTCACACGTCCAACAACGAGGAAGAATATGAAGCCCTCTTGGCCGGCCTCAGATTTAGCGTAACAATGGGGGCGGAAAGAGTCACACACAACAACAGCCATGACCGACTCGCGCTGGCGTAACCAGTAATCCAGGGGAGTTCAAAACAAAAGACAAGCGAATGGAGAAATATGTCAAAGCAATACAACAAATCACGAGTACCCTAAAGAGCTTTGAGATAAAACAAATCTCAAGGGGAAATAATAGGAGAGCAGATGCTCTCAACAAACTGGCGTCAACATGCTTCGGACACCTCTCAAAGGAAGTTTTGGTGGAAGTACTGAAAGAAAGGAGTATCGACGAGCGGCAGGTCAATTCTCTATCAATAGCACAACCCAACTGGATGACGCCCATCATAGAATATCTACAACATGGTATAATCCCTGACGACCACGCAAAGGCTCGGAAGACGAGGATACGAGCCCCACAGTACGCGATGATAAAAGGGACGCTGTATAGGAAGGGCCATGCGGCCCCGTGGCTCAAGTGCATAGATGGCGCAACAGGAAAGATGGCCCTAAAGGAAGCCCACGCAGGGTCGGCCGGAGCTCATGAGGGAGCAAGAGCGCTCACGGGCAAAGTATTACGCATGGGCCTATACTGACCAGATATACACCAGGACGCGGTCGAGCAAACACGGACCTGCGTGGAGTGCCAGACTTTCTCGCCAACACAAGAAGTCCCGCCATCAAAGTTAAAAAGCATAGTTAGCCCCTGACCCTTTTACCAATGGGGAATCGATATAGTCGGTGCCTTCCCAGAGGCACCTGGGAAGGTAAAATTCTTAATTGTGGCGGTCGATTACTTTACAAAGTAGATAGAAGCAGAGCCAATGGCGTGCATCAATGGGAAGCAAGTAATCAAGTTTTCCTGGAAAAACATCGTGACAAGATTTGGGATACCAAGGGTCTTAATCAGCGACAACGGCCTGCATTTCGCGGAAAACCCCTTTAGAGATTGGTGTAAAGAGAAGGGAATAGAGAAAAGGTTCACATCTGTGGCGCACCCTCAGGCTAACGGGCAAACAGAGGTGTCAAATAGGACACTGGTACAAGGGATCAAAAAAAGGTTGGGCAAAGCAAACGGCAACTGGGTGGATGAACTACCGGAGGTTCTCTGGTCATATCGAACCACACCACGAACCAGCATGAAAGAGACACCATTCTGCCTAGCTTACGGAGCTGAAGCAATGCTACCAGCAGAAATAATGATAGGATCAATACGCACGGAATACTGCAAGGAGCAGGAGAACAGCGAAGGCCTGAGGGAAAACTTGGACCTCTTGGAAGAGTGACGCGAACGCTCCAGCATACGCCAAGCCGCCTACAAGAAGGAAGTGGAGAGATACTACAATCAGCGAGTAAGAAACAAAGCATTCCGAGTAGGGGACTATGTTTTACGAAAAAACGAAGTCAGCCATGCCCAACCCCGGGGGAAGCTAAGCCAAACCTGGGAAAGACCATACAAGGTAGTCGAGGCACACCGCAACGACACCTACTCCATTGAAACTCCGGAGGGAAGACAGATCCCCAAAACATGGAACGCAAAGAACTTAAGGAAGTTCCACATCTGAATAATGGCGAAACCCTATACAGGAGGGAAGGCGAGGGTGTTCAGTTTTAAAGCAAAGGAGCAGCTCCCTAGATAGTTGGTAAAAAGAAAACATCCCATGGCCGGATTGATCACCCGGACCAAGCAACGGATGCTTAGAGCAGTCCAGTAGGGAACCAAAATATGAAACAGTTGTACGAAAGAATTATATAAATAAACATGCATTTTCTTTAGTACGTAATGCAATAGACACATTCCGCATACTAGCAAAACACAACATAAAGGATACTTAGTGAATCCTAGATGCAACCCATGCAAGACCAAGAGCATCATACATACGCACATACACAAGTCTAGCATAAAGTTAGCCCAACATAAGGCTTGATTAGATAAACAAAATAGTAAAACAACCAAAACCAAACTATTGTTTGTTCACAAAGACTTCAAATCATAACAAAGGCCTCCGGGGCCACAAGACATCCAAAAACGACATGATACAAAGGAAAAGGAAACATCAGTAACAATTTTTCACACCCTGAAAGGGAAGCTCTAAACAACTTCACCAACACCATTACCGCCACTCCCACCAACGCCACCACCGCCACTCCCACCAGCACCGTTACCCCCCGCCACCACACCCCCCCCACCAGCCATCAACCTCACAACACGTTACCACCCCCACCACCACCCCACCACGCCATCACCGCCACTCCCACCAGCACCATTACCGTCATTCCCACCAACACCATCACCACCCATCCATGCACCTAACTCACCCACACCTTCCTCACCATCCTCAAATGTACATAATGCCCCAACCCCATCAACATCCAAATGACCTAACCCAAGCAGTCCAGCAAAATCTATAGTTGCGAAAGCCAGTAAAGCATCATCCAAGGCTGAAGAATGGCTAGACCGTGAGTCGCTAGCCGAAGGATCATACGTCACGTCATCAACCTAGGCTTTCAAATTCGCCTAGCCTGACTCCTCGCCGGCAACAAAAGCAGCATGACGAATGCGACTAATGTCACCAGTGAACTCAGGGTGCTCAAGGAGTTAGTCCATCACACGTACAAGACCCACCTGGAGGAGCCAACTACGGTCCGCCTTCAATACCTCTAGTCCCCGCTCGCGATTGACAACGTCTCGCTCCAAGCTCTCATTCTGAATCATCAAACCTTCATTTGCCTGGGTCAAAGACTCCACTTGACCCTCCAAAACACCACGCACATCCTCCAACACAGACTTTCCCAAAATCAAAGACCTGTTCTCCTCCTCCAGCCGAACAACCATAGCACTTAACTCCGCCACCCTACTTCTCAAGCTAGCCTCACTCTCAACCAAGGAAGAATGCACGTGTTCCAAATCATCGAATCGTTGCACATAACGGGACTCGTCGGCTAGATATGTCATAACCTGCGCAGCGGTGTATGCAAGGTTGTGGGCCAAAACAGCATTGCTCATGGAGTCCATGTCATCTAGGGTGGCTGGAGGGAGAGCATGGCGGGTAAAATCTAAAGCAGCAGAGCGCACAGACAAACGAGAATCGTGTCGCAAACCCCATCCCAGGATAAATACAGGAAGAGTAGGGGCAGACCCCTGAAACAGCCGCTCCGGACTACTCCTTGGAGAAAGAGGATTAACACCAACACTCGCAGAAATCAGAACAAGGGGCTGATGAGACGCCCTCTCAATACCCTCAGACTGTTGAACGTCATCATCGGGTATCACCAACACATCCCATGGATCGGAGGGGGGAGAAGATAACAAGCGCATAAGACTGCGGCGCTGCATCACCCGCTGCGCAACGGGCCCTGAACCACCCTAGGGCGCTGGTCCGCTCATCGCCTGCACGACTTTCCTCTTTTCGGAAAGCGCTGGTTACTATCCCAACCTTGTTATCCACCACGATGTCAGCGGCCGATCCAGTAGGACCAGGAGATGCAGTCGCAGAAGTAACAACAATGTGCGAACCCAGGCGGCTCCCCGACGCGGTCGAACTACCCACGGGCTGGGGGATACCGGGATAACAACAGACAAGCATCGGGGGGAGGCAGAGTCTCGTACAGAGGCACCGCACAATGCTCCAGCTTCCCCTAGTAGCGACCCCGTAGTACAGAATCCATAGAGACAGAGCACTCGACACCTATTAAGCAAAACATACATATATAAAAAAAAGAGGGGGGGAGAGAGAAGGAGAGAAGAAGAAGAAGAAAGAAAGGC